TCAGGGCAGCCGAGACATTGTTAGAACAAGGCACTTTAAGGTTCATTACATTTCTTGTTCTATCCATTTTGCTCATTGGTTTGAAGTGTAGATTCGCAGGAAGCAAGTTCGAGTTCACAGATCACACTTAACCCACGGGTTATTACCTATCATCCGTTACTGCGACCCACAGTTGCTTCGGGACAACTCCCACACTGCCCAGCAAGGGGTCCCTCCGATCGCCAGTCGGCATTACTAAACCCTACGGCATTTTCACTCACTGCTGAAGGGAGCAACCTTCACGCTGGCTAATGCACAGTTTAGGATTATGACTCTTCCCTCTCTACTTTCCGCAATGATTGCAGCCGTCTCTAACATGGAGACACGCTGCAGACATTAACAGCCACCCGCTGCGGTTGTGTTCGAGGTTGTTATTATCCGTCAGAGCGATTGGATCACGTTCCGGGCTACGGTACGTGCCAAGTCTACAGACCGGATCTAAAGAAAGGAGTCAAACAATGATAAAACTCAAGCATGCAAATACAAACAGAAGCCAAACAGCTCACCGCCTGCTAGACCAGATGATCATCGGCGAACCTTACCAAAATCGGGACAGCCCTGGATGGTACTCTAGCAGCTGAGGCAAAGTGGCTGTACAGATCATCGACGCCGCCAGGTCCCTGTAGAAAGTCACGGATCCGGAAGAGGCTTTGTCTGGATAAAAAGCGGGAATGGAAGGCCCCAGACACCCACGTAGACTTCGGGACAAACACAGAGAAGATAGTAGATATCCTGCTCTTTGAAGAACGAAAACTCACAGAAGCAGCCTCCAGTCTTCAAAACAGGAAGGTCCCAGGGCCTGATAGCATACAAGTAGAGGTGGCGCGAGAATGCCCGAACCTTCTGCCGAACATATAGGGGAAGCAGGGGTAACGGGGATCACGGGGTAATGGTGAATTATCGATAAATATTATAATCAAACCATATTGAAAGGCAGAAACATATGCTTCTACCTTGAGTCATAACTATAGCCACTTGATCGCCAAAGCCAAAGAAAGCTTACACCAACGATTATCTCGTTCGTACCAGGAAAGTGAGTGGTCGATGTTAGAAAGTGCTCTCCGAAAATAAGGTCTTACTAACGTGTACTTGGAGATATCTGGAAGAATTACAATTGCTTGGAAGGAAAGCACTTCAGCAAATCATTTTGTACCAATTGCGAGTAAAATTACTCTTTCTAAAACATTCTATAAAAGTGTTTGAGTTATGATAATGTGCTTTTGGGATAATGGTGGTAAATGATTCTTATTATCGGAGAGTGACTGCCATTTCTCCATATAATCATTTAATTGCCCCCTGATGTTAATTAGACATTTAGCAAGAATGGCTGGACGAATGAAGAACTCATCGAGATGCTCAAAAACTTTAAAAGCCTACTTGACATACAGCTCAGAGCCCAGTGTTGATCTTGGACAACCTTGGGAGTCGTATTACTTTAGACGCCTACAATTGAATCGTTTATTTAAGAAACCCATCAAACGACACATTCCTGATATCCAGTAAACAGAAGTTTCCCAATTTTTCAGATTTCAAAATATTTTTATTTATTAAAGCACTTGATAAATTAATACTTTTCATATATATGCGCTAAATGATGTCTCCATCCTCTTGGAACAATAATGCGTGTTTTAGATTTTGGTGGTTGACGGGTTTCTGAAATAAACGATTCAATTATTGTGAACAAAATAAATACCGTTTCAAGTACTAATGTGTTTATTTTGTTTTAAATCCCTTTAGTGACTCCCATTACCCACATACATTGGTAATGGGGGCCAAATGCAAATTTTTAGAAATTCGACATTTGAGAGGGTTTTAGTGATTTTTTTGTTATTTTGAGGTGAAAACGCAAGTTTAATGCGAGATAAAAGCACATACTTGTTCATAGAAACAATTCGTATTGATTTATATTGAAAAATACAGTGACCCTCATTACCCCTGCTTCCCTTATAACACCTGCCTCAGAGGATGGAAGCCACGATTAGTACATGGCACAGTTGGTCCTAGTGGACACGGGTAATGGTGGACGGCATCTTCCATCGTCCTACAGGCCCCTCTGCTTGCGCGCCACGGTCAGGAAGCTTGAAAAGTTGCTCAAACCATGCCTGCTAATGGGGATTCGGCGTAATTCTATCGGATAGACAATACGGTTTCAGGACTGGGCGATCTATGGTAGACGCAGCCAAAGGTGTAGTAGACGCTGTTGAAGATATACGGTAGTTATCAACACTCCTGTGAAATAGTGCTGCTACCAACACTAGACGTGGGGAACGTGGACGGATATCCCGATGGCTCTGGACAAGACGTTCAAGGTACCACGCTACAACCTCCGATTCTTCAGCGACTACTTGGGGGAGACGAAACTAGTATATTACATCGCAGATGGTCCCCTTATGGTGCATATACATAGGTGAGCCCCTCCGGTGCACCGATTGTTGCCCGTTCTGCGCAACACCAGTTTGCGTCACGAACCACACGACCACAGCACGGCCACTTCATTTGAAAAGCCAGACCAGACGCTGGTCGCCATGTTGCATGGAGAACGAGAAGTGTTGACAAACATTTTGAAAGTGGTAAAAAATGACAGTTTTAAACTGTAACCAACCAAAAGTAACAGGAAGGTGTACAAGATGCAATATTTAAAAGTATTTGTTCATCAATCTGTTGCAATGTCTTGTACCGAAGTGGTAAATTTGGGATGTCTGCATTTAATATTCCCGCTAATATTGTGACACAAATTGGTGTCGGAAGCTCATTGCCTGAAGTCGACTTCGATGCGCAAGAGGCCCCCTCCCCGGGTTCCCTTAAAAGAGACGTTACGGCGAGGGTCGCGCAATGATCGATCCTGGGAGCAAACTTATGAGACGTTTCCTATGACGACATACTTCAAACGGAAATGCCAGAAGACTGCCCTGCTTGGGTACGCCGATGACATTGTAGCCGTCATCCAGGCACGCACGATGGCAGAGCTCCAGTGGAATCTCAACCAGGTGACGAGACGCGGCACCACGTGGATGGACGATGGCGGGCTTGGCCTTTATTTTTATTTATTTTACTTCAAAAAGCAGTGTAAAACTGTGTCACGTGCCACAAGGAGAAATGTATTCTGTGAACGTTTTCTTAATTCTAGGATCTCTGCCCTAAACCATATACAATTCGAATTCTGAATACAGAAAGAAATGAGCGTCTTTGGCAAGAATGTATAACAAAATACGTGATATGGAAAAGCCTTGCTACGGGAAAGACGGAACTCGTCCTTTTGACAAGAAAGCAGATTCCGACGCTGATTCCCACGACTGTCGATACAGAGGTTTTCCAAACAAGGCGTCCGTGAAATACCGTGGCCTCACTTTTGACAGGAAACTCGCCTTCGATGAACATATCAGACGGGCATCGGATAAGGTTTCGCAAGTGACCAGAGCACTGAGCCAGTTGAGGGCCAACGTCAGGACCGAGACCGAGCAAGCGGCGTCTTCTCGTCCATGTGGCGCAGTCCATTGAGGGACGGATCCGGGATATGGGCAGACGTACTCGCAAGGGAACACCCTAGGCAACGCGTGAGCGCGATACAGAGGATAGGAGCGCTGAGCATTGCCTGCTCCAATAGAACTGTCCACACCTGCAGAACTGGTAGTGCCTGGGCTCACAGCCATTCTCCTTCATGCCCAGGAGAGGAAACTCATCCACCAGACGAACACCGAACTGGGAAGCCAGAGCCCTCGCAATGGAGCACTGGCAGCACAACTGGGAATACGAAAGCAGGGGAAGATGGACAGACAGGCTCATCCCGCAGATAACTCCTTGAGCTAGGCACAAGCATGGCGAAGTCTCGTTTCACCTTACACAGTTCCTCACTGGTCAGGGTTATTTCCACAAATACCTCCACTAGATGAAGGTAGTAGAACATGCTGAATGTGTGCATTGCCACGCACAAACAGATGATGATGAGCACACATTCATCTGCAAGAGATAAGCAGTTGACTCAAGGAATAGAATGAAGGGGCAGAATGAAGGGACAAATAGAATGATGGGCAGTTGACTCAAGAAAGAGAAATGAAGTAGAATGGTTTGGAGTTGTAACTCCGGATAACATCATCGAGATAATGCTTACCAGCAAAGAAAGTTGGGGCAGAAAATCTACCTACATGGAAAAGGTACTCTGCACTAAGAAACTAGAAGAAATCCCTGGCCAATAACAACTTGAAAGAGCAAAACAGAAAGGCAATATGATGAGATAAGTCCCCCTCCCCCGAGGGCAAATGACAAAACACCATTACAAAGTAATTCGAAAACAGTCCCCGAATGGTTTCCCATCTAAGGAAAAAAAGGATTCGTGGTATTAGTGGAGGAAATTCTTACACTACTCAGGAGGGCGCATTCTCCTGGGAGTTCATTAGAATTTCCACAGTTTCCCTAGTTAAAAAATTTAAATATTAATTATTATTATTATTATTATTATTATTATTATTATTATTATTATTATTATTATTATTATTATTACAATATTTAGTATAGTAAGGGGGTGCAATCCTGCCGATCCGTTGGCCGAGATCGTTAAGGCAGTAGTGCCGTAGCGATCTCGGACCAAAGGATCGCGGGTTCGAGTCTCGCCTCGGGCACGGTTGTGTTGTGTTCGTCCTTTCACCCCCTATTCATAACATCATCCTCCATCTCTCATTATCACCTTTCTGAATAACATTCAGAATTGTAACTCGAGGATTTATCCTCACCTCAAGGTGACAAAACACCTTCAACAGTCGACCATGAACTAGTGAAGTGGAACGACTCAAGTGGTCCAATGTGGCCAATCAAGTTAATAATAAGGGGGTGCAATCCTGAAAATTTAAAAATGCTTTTTTTTGTATATAGTACTATCTAAATATAGTAAATTATCTCAGAATATATTACAAAAACAATGATGTATTTTAGGTATATAAAGTTTAACAAATAAAACATTTTTTTTTTTTTCAAAAAAAGGTAATGTCCTCATTTAATGAAAATGAAAAGTGCATATCAATGATATTTGCTACACGGACTTAAAATACATTTTGGGCTGACTTTGGAACACAGAAATGGTGCCAATTAACAAAATAAGCTACACATATTATAAAAAAACAAAGTTAACAATACAGTAAATGCTAATCAACCTGTCCTGAACAAAAGGAGAAAAACAGAAATTAAAATAAATATCAAGAATAATTCAGTCAGATAATAAATAACATCTACACATATGAGTCAACAGTAATTGTAAATGATGATAAATTGACTAATAAAGCATTATAAAGCAGATTTTGACTCTGAAGAAAAAATCAATGCTTTTGTCTGTGATCAAGAACTACTTTATTACAAAACTATCATCTTTTACTTCAATATTTTCTTCACATACACTTTGTTTACATCATTATTATCAATGATAGTTGTCAAATGACTTGGAAGCTTGAATACTCTATTAATTACTCTACAAATTAATGTAATACAAAATGCATGTAATAGATTCTACTAATAGTAACCTATTACATCAGGTGTAATGAAGACACTTAAAAATTTGAACATAATGTGTCACACTCAATTTTACACATAGTCTAACATAGACACAAAGATATTTTTCAAGAATACATAATTAAATGTACACTTACATTTATATAACACATACATACACATCCTAATCTCATGTAACAATCTGCAGTTTGTGTGTTTCACATACCCTGCATTAATAAAGAGATTATGAAAAGGAGATAAAAAATCTTTTTTTAACAACTGAACAAAACATTTTGCTGTGAAAAAATATTTTTCCAGCACTACTTAAATTACCCTCTGATAGTGAGCAATGTTTTTGTTTGAGGAACTACCATTTTAAATGAATTTCTTTTCCAATCATTGTTCACATTTCAATACGCTCGATAATGCTGTTTCCAAATCTTATTCCGTTGATTAGGAGGAAGTCTACTAAAGAAAAGGGACTAAAGGAATATAAATAATATTTTAAAATATGCTTCTCAAGTGACAAAAATGATCCACTTATTTCATTTTAATAAATGAAATTACAAATAGTATTCCAGAGAGAAAACTAGAAAATGAACAGTCTCAACATTCAGTCTTGCGCAAAACATCGTTGCCATGCTCTCGCTGCTCTCTGAGATGGGAATCCAAAGCATTTAATGCAGCAAGAACCCAATACAACCCATCCATGAGGCGTCCATATGATTCACTAAGATCATGTTCAGAACATGTAACAACAAACATATCTGGAAAGAAAATGAAACATGAATGAATTAAGATTTAGAAGTGTTACTTAATAACAAAATCCCTTGTAAATGTAGGTAAATATACTTTGATTTTTTAATGTGGCATCTTAAGGTCATGCACGACAAAGGGAGAGGGAAGAGACTCCATTAGAGAGCCGTAAAAGTAATAGCTGTAGTGACATTTCAGCTCCCTATTGGAGTCTGCCTTCCCTCTCCCTCTTTCATGCATGACCTTGAGATACCAAATTTAAAAAATCGAAGTATAACAAGAAATTTTCTTGGTGGGTTTCCTTAATATTAATGGTTACACTTATCAGTCACAAATACTCCTATTGAAAATGGGAGGGTAGCCTTGAACAGAAAAATTTAGAAAAAAGTTTATTGAATCTTTTCTTGAAACAATTGGTCAGTTTTACAACAATGTGGTTTAATTAGTTTATGCTAACAAATATTTATTGATAATAATCTTTTAGTTACAATAAAAATTTCATCTCCTTTATTGCAACATTCACATTTTGAAAAAAATGTAGTTTATGTACATGTAAGCTTCAACCAAAATAGTTGATTTTATCATTCTGACAAAGAACAATGGGAAGATTTAACTACTTAAATACAGCCATAAGTGAATTTTCAAGAAACTCAGGTAATGCATATTATGAAGACCTCAGAGCAATAACATGTTATGCCACTACAAAGTTTTCAAAAATAGGAAAGTAAAAATTTATACTTCCTTCTGCACACTGGGATAAAGAACATTAATTTATGAATTTCACTGCCATCTTTCGGAGAATCTTAAAAATAAAAACCAAACATCTAGAGTCACATAGGAATTTAAGATACACTAATATCTCAATTTCACCAGAAATGTGGTATACCATGTTATTGCCCCAAGATCTTATAAATTTGACATGGGAGGGAAAAATAAAGGTCAACAAACTATAAAATTACCCAGGTCAACAGTGGTGTTGAAGGAAAATTATATTTCTGTGTCTGTCTGTCTGTCTGTCTGTCTGTCTGTGTGTGTCTGTCTGTCTTGTCCGTCTGTCTGTGTCCATCTGTGTGTGTCTTTCTGCCTGTCTGTCTGTGTTCGTCCGTGTGTGTCTGTCTCTGTGTGTCGGTCTGTCTGTGTCCGTCTGTGTGTGTCGGTCTGTCTATGTCCGTCTGTGTGAGTCGGTCTGTCTGTGTGTGTGTGTGTGTGTGTGTGTTTTATAGTACCATTTTCATCATTTTTTTAAACATTTTATTATTATTATTATTATTATTATTATTATTATTATTATTATTATTATTATTATTATTATAAATTAAATGATGTCTTATTTGTCAGAATGGCTATCACCACACAAAAAGTATTATTACTTTGAACAGCTCATATTATCTTGTAAATAACTGCTCGACAAAGTGAATAATTTTTGAAGAGAATTATTAACTTCATTCAAATCGCATTAGCTTTTAGGAATAATGACAAAATATTATATATGATAAATATACAGGTGAAATGGTAATTACGTATATAAACTAGCTATTTTATGTAATCAATAATTAATTGGTTTGACTGTAACGTAGTAGTTAACTCTTTATGCACTGGTTCTCACATGTACACATTCTGTTGCATTTAAAGAAATAGTGTGTACCTTCCAAATATCAGTGCACATGTTCTTTCACCAAAAAGTGATCATCTTCGACTCCCTACTCTCTCAAGAACTTTGTAACATTTATTGAGACATATTATAAAAGAATTGCTTTTTGTATGCTTTAGATTTCAATTTATGACTTCTTGTGGCAACAGTTTGAACATTATTTAATTAAAAAAGCTGGTTTTCCAAAAATACTCAAATTAAAGGTGAGACATTACCACATATATTTCAAACGAATCTTATAACTTTCTACCTGTCCCCCAAAAAACACCTGAAAGTTTTTGATATTCTGTCTGAAATAATTATGCACATACATTACCTTTTCTTTCGTTTACAAGATGCCTGCAGAAGACATTCAGAATTCCAGTAATATCATCATCATCTGGACTGCTGGGAAAGCCACCATTACCCCATGAGCCTCTGCAATGTGAAGACGTACAGTTCAAAATGCAATAAGGGGTTTTATTAATATGTTAGTTTTATATCTTTCTGCAATTGAAGTGGTGTTGAGGCATCAAGAAAGGATTTAAGAAAATTAAAATAATATAAAACAATAATTTTAATATTATTCTAAAATCAACATTTGAATATAATTACAATCTTTTCTTTTTATACCTAAAGTTGTTTTTGTTTGTAATACATATGTGATTTACAATGTTTTCTATAGGTGCTCTATTCCAGCTAATAAAAAATACTCATTCCAGCAGAAAGAAACAGAATAGTTGTTCACCAATTGGATGATCACCTTGAAACTGTGTTTACAGAAACTTCCAAACGACATAAAATATGGAAGGGTACTTTTCTTCCTCTGCTTAATACATGCATTGCAGAATTGAGTGACTGTTATTATCAGGATACAACAGATCTCATTGGAGTTGGATAATTAACAGAATTTAGAACTTCTGAAGATGATTTTGAAGTTTTTTTCAAAACCATTCAGTGCCGTTTTTCAGACCTAATAATGGAGATTAATCTGTTATATTTCTACAATGAAGAGGCTGATCCACCAGAAATGATTTACAAATGGCTACACTGTTCAATAAACTTGATTGGTTGCACCCACCAAGACTTATTTTCTAGGAAGTGAAACAACACAATCACTTTAAAAATCTAATTTATATTTAAGTTGTATATTAATTTAAGCATATAATTAGTTCTTCCTTACTATTATTAGATTACTCAAACAATCTGTGATCGTAAATCGTTTTTACTTTCTTGTACTTCAGAAGATAATGTTATGTAGAGTTTAATTAATTTATAGTCTATGCAATTTCACTTATTATTTATAAATATTGTTAAACATATTTTTAAGGTGTATTTTGTGGTTTCAAATGCACTGGCCAAACCAAACACAGGACTCTGTGCATGCCACTGTCTTTATTGTAACTTTATACTATGTTTCTTGTAAGGAGTTATTATTAACTTTTTGACTGTAGTTTTAATAGTAAGAAACTTGTGTAATTGGGTATTTGCATATATCAATCAAATGAAATAAATGAGGAAAAAAATAAAAGTATGAAAGATAAAAGCAAACAGTCCAAACCCAAACTTGGCACCCAAGGAAAAAATAGCTCCAAAATTAAAGGCTCTACAACAAAAATTATTTCAGACAGTATTTCCCCCCCTAAAAAACCAAAAAGGCACAAAATTAAAGTATAATTAAGCCTATGCTCTGGATAATTTCAACCATTATTTCTAAAAAAATGAGGACAGTAAGATATAAAAACAGTAAAATTTTCCGTGTTTTACAGAAATTGGCCAGTCTATTATGTCTTCTTCTTATTTCATCTAATCACATGAATTTAAATACTTACCAGCAATAACAAACATTACATACCTATTATGCCTAGCATGTTGTAATGCTGCAGACCACTTATGGCCTTGAACTAACTCCAGCAACACAGCTTCAGCTTCTTCAGTTGCAGGACCAGATGCTGGAGTGGGTGTAGAAGTTGGGGTGGGAGTGGATGTGGGGGTCGGAGTGGGAGTTGGAGTTGGGGCAGGAGAAGGTGTGGGTGTGGGAGTACCCTGATCTGAATCAGTCCCCTCTTCCAAAGCACGTGCTAGACCAGCACGCATGACAGCAACGTCTGCAGATGCATCATGGAGCTAAAAAATAAGACAAATATCCAGCATATTATCTATAATATTTTTCATATTAAAACTTAACTACTGGCCTATAGCTGCAAAACTATTAGACATCACATCCAAAATTCTACATAAACAGTTTTTTTTTTCTCCAATATCATATCAGGACTTGGCACTAAATCCTGAGTCTTGCTTCACACAGTTAAATTATTTTATATAAAAGTTATATCACATTGAGATCTAACATTGAATTAAGGTACAACTCAAAACACAACCATAAGAGTAAACTCGATAATTAAACCAAAAATTCGATACACTAATTTATTGTCTCTAATGACACAAGATTGATAGATTTTTGGAGAAAGTACCTTGTACAACTGAATATGATGATAATCACAGAATTACGACTGAATTCAAACATCCCCAATAGTCTGAAACGTATCCCTAATTTTTCCACCTATTATATTGACAGGACGAACAGACAAAGGGGTGGGGTTCTAATATACATCACAGAATGGGGTCCATCACAAAGAGAGAGACAACAATCCATGAACTAGAAGACCCTGTCATAGAAACATTAAGGCTGAGAGTAAGGACCAGTTGATCAAAATTTATCAATGGAGGACTCTACAGACCACCTTCAACAGATACATGACAAACACAAAAGGACCTCAGACTCTTTAAACAAATTGACTAAGTCTGAGGAAGATGTGAACCTGTTATATAATGATGGGGGATTTTAATTTCCCTTCCATTACTAAACATGGAGCTACCTCCAAATCTGAAGTGGAGCGAGAATTTCATCACTGTATTGACTTTAATCTTAGCCCAAAAAGTTAATGAACCCATAAGGTATAGAGGGATTTAACCCCCCACAATTCTAGATTTGGTACTGGTGAACAACAAAGATACAATCACTCACCCCCCCCCCTTCTGAGACAAAACTTTGGACAGAGTGAGTGAATGTCACAACTTTACCCCAGTAATTGAGGAGGTGAGAGTCCCTCCTGAAAATGTCAATAAAAAAATTAACTTCTATGAAGCAGACTTTGCAACAATAGCAAAACGTCTTAACAAATATCAAGAGTTGACAACTTCAAAAAACAGAGAAGGTGAAAGGAATGAAGTTGAAGAAAAATTCAATGAATTTTGTGATATGTTTCAAAAACTACTGTCCAATCATTCACCAAAATATAAGAAGAAACATTTTGACAAACCATGGATTAACCACAAAATTAAGAAGCAGATCAAAATCAAATGCTGTGCATGGTACAAGTATAGAAGGACTAAAACAATGCATTATAAAGAATAGAGAATTATCTCCAACAGGCTCATGTCAGACATACGAACAAAAAAAAGAAAAATTCAAAGAGTAAGTTGGGCAGAGCAGAGGAAAAAGGTTTTACTCTTATATTCAGAAACAGACTGCTTGTAAACCGGGCCCATCTAGAACCATTCTAAATAAAGGGATCACAATATCTAAACAAAGCTTTTGAAGACTGGATCGCTAGCTCGAATTCATTCACAGTTCGGAGGAGAATTCTAGAGACCAGCTGCTCTGATTGGTAGCTACTTTATCAATGTTACTCCTATCAATACCATGTGAATGCCGTAACACTTAACAAACAGGCCACGAACAGTGGGCAATCTGTTCTTCCTCATCCTTGTCCCCTTATCTTCGCTACACACATGTATACAGTGGTGCATGAGCCCCCCCCCCCCTTTGCCCCTCCCTTGAAGGGACGTGTGGTTCGCATTGGGTATCACCATTTTAGAGGCGACACCAATTAGAAAATTTTACAGTTGGAACTAAATAATTATTTATTTAAAAATTATAATTCAATTATTCAGAATTACATACAGTTTTTAATAAGTTATAAATAAATGTCATGTGCAAATATAATTTTATTTTTATTAGATAATGTATACCTATTTAGTAATAAATACTTTTATATTTTATTTATGGGGGTGATACTGTTAGTTTTGCCCTAGGTGGCACCAACTGAAAGAGAGAGAGAAAGCTACACCACTGCTTCTATACATCTACTCTTATCATACTGTCGAGAAAGAGTTCAGGAGCTTAGAGCATGTACTGGCTAGGGAAGAATCCGCTGATGAAATTGTCTGGAGGGAGAAATCCTGTATTGTAAAGTTCAGTGCCGGATCTCACATCCCAGCGTGGGACATCGCCACCTTCAGAGATTTAAATGAACTGCACTTACAAGACTAATAACCTTACAATTACAGTATGGACAATTTTTATTCATATTCAGTGACTAAACAAATTTTGACTTGTAATATTTTTCAATCCCTTTAATTTGACCATTTAAAAAAATCTTCATGACGACAGATTAAGACTCTCAAAACCTCCAATACAATCCATAGACATAAAAGAAAAAAGTTCCTACACCAATTATATTGATTATCTCAGACTAAGAGGAACTTACTACATCAATCAATTATAAATGTACATAACTAATGACCTCAGTAGAAACAAAATAATAAATGAAATATGACACACTTTCAATGATAGATGCAGATACTAATAAATAAATGATTTACCTCTCAAATGTAAAGAACAATTCAGATTCTCTGCATATCATTATGTTATTATATAAATGCCTTACAAAAAATATCTACTTTTGTTTTTGTAAAGAAAAGCCTTTGCCACTTGAGCCTCAAAGAATTGGTTGCCCTGACCGGGATTCGAACCTAGGCCTTCTGGTTTATGCCCAGCTGCTCTAATCACAAAGCAACCGAGACAACCAATCCTCTTAACAGTTTTCATGAGCGATTCTTCTTTGAACAAATTTTATTATTAAAATGCATTGTTACTCAGTAACATGGTCATAATTTGGATTTCTTTATGACTGCGGAATATGTTCTCCAAGAGTATTTGCATCCAACAACTGCCAGTCTTGAAGACTGGTTTCTTGCAATTGAACTGCCTCATCTGAAGAATAAATAAAGCTTGGAGACACAATCTGTCCAGGCAACTGTCACTATTGTGAAGCAGTACAAGCACCACAACGTAAATTTTGTTTCATTGCCACCAAACAGCATGCATTTATTATAACTTTTAGATCACTGCTTTCTCAGGACATTGAAGATTGCATGCCGAAATGTGATAAGAGAATGGATACCATATGGGGTGCATTCAGACACACTAAATAACTTTTGAAAAAAATAGAATGTTTATTAAACATTTCACTCTGAACTGAACTCAAATTTTAAAAGATTTCCCCCAAACATGTTGTATTCAAAAACCAAAATATTCCCACTGAAAGAAGAATATTAAAAAATTACGTAAAAGCTGTCTGATTTCACCCGTTGAGAGTACTCATCATAAATAGTGCACATTAAATAAATAGTTACCTGATGACTGCTAGCAGTAGCTGTAAGTGCAATGACCATCTTATTAGAAGCTTCAACCAACAGCAACAGTTGGAACAGTAGTTTATACAGAGACCGACCCAAATCCAGGACCAATTCCTCGCTGCATAGTTCTCCAGAACTTTCTCCCAGCAAATGCAACTTTGCTGTTGCTTTCACAGCATCAATGCACTGTGAAAACAGTTCTAAAACTAATAACTCTCATATAAACACTATATAATAAAGACATTTTAAGAAAAATATCTGAGCAAAAAAATTTTAATTTAAGAAAAAAAGTTATTGAGAAATGTCAGATTCACATAAAATTAAAAAAAAAAAAAAAACTTAAAAATCACGGCTTTTTCCCTGTGATTCTCTTGTATTTCAAAAGCTATATGCTTAGATAATTACAATTTTTTTATCTTCCAACTATGCCACACATACATAGGTAACCATGTCATAAAAGGTTTCCTATAATACTGAGGAAAAACCATACTGATAACAATTTTTAAACACTGATGATAATTTATTTGTTTTCCGCATAATAACATAACCTTCTGGAAAACATATTTTCATTAGGCTCTGTTCTTTTGGAAACATTTATTTGAATCTAAATGAAAAAATTATCCTATTTATACTATCTTATTCCATTGTACAATGTTACTATCATATATTTTGAGACACCTGTCATAGTCCTCCTTAACAAAATGACATTTACCATTAGGTAAACAGGCATAGCAGAAAAGCTATACAGAATGACAAAAATATATTTACTGCTCCTTGATCCCAGCAATACATGAAAGTTTGAATATCATAATAACTACAAAATGTATTTTCAAAATGAAATAACATTTTTTTATTTGTTTCAACTTTAGTTGGTTCTAAAATTACCTGAATTTGATGTTTTGCTTCGTTTCAGAAATTATGTTAGGTGTCAGTTCTAGATTTAAGTCAAATTGAATCATATTAACATATGTAACTTACCTCAGTAGCATGATCCTTTCGATCTAAAAATGTTTCCCAATGCTCCTGTATACCAAGCATTCCAAATCTTAATGATTCATTTAATCGAGAACAAGTAACTGCATCTGGGCCTATCCATATATGAGGAGGATCTGGCTGAGATATCAATAAATCCGCAACAGAGAGGAGTCTTGATCCAAGTAAAACAGCAGCTGAAGAGGGTATGGGAGTAATTCCACTACTTTCTGTCAAATAATGACATGCCTCTTGTGTTAATGCCACAGTCTTGGAACTAGCATCCTGTAACAAGGATAATAAGTATGAAAGGAAAGAAAAAAAATATTTAACACCTCAAACATTAGTGCAAAAATGTAATTTTCCTACCTTAACAAGACGATACAAGAGCTGAAAGAGTTCTGTGGGAGATGATGGGATGTGATTTAACAGATTTTGAATTTGAAGTCTCCAAACTTCTTCAGCATCATCTCGAGTAATAGGGCGGAATGTCATATGAGCAGAAAGGTTTGGAGAGGCATTACAAGGAGTAACATCTCCCAAGTCACCAGTACTGGATCCCCTGATAATAATGTGTTAAGGAAGTTAAATACTGACATAGAACAATCTTTCAATTTAATTATCACATTGTTTTGTTATAATTTAAAATTAAATGAAACTTTCACAATAAAATAAATTGAATTCACAATTATTATGAAATGTGCTTTAAGAGAGAAGTGTACACATACATATTGTAATTAACCAATGTATAAAAGCACCCTATTGATGAGTTTTTGCATGATTACACAACTTTCTCTACACTATGTACAAGGGTTTTCAAAGAAACTGCATCACCCTTTAGTAAAGTCTCATCACCCTATAGTAAGTCTCTTTTGCTGTTGAAACTTGGTGAATTTCCTACAGTAGAGCACGCATCTATAAACACTATCTGAAGACAATTTTGAAGAGATAATGTCTGAAAACATGTTGAGCAATATCCACAGACTTGAAAATTGAATGGGAGGAACATGTAAGGGTGAAAGCAAGTGCTGATGCAGTCTTCTCAATGTTGAAGAGCGAGAGTGAGAAGACGTGAGAAAATGACTTACTTATGAAGGACTGCTTGTTACCTGCCATCCCAAAAACCCTTTCCTGACAATGGCAATAAAGGAAAATAGTCTTCAAGGAGCTACGAACCACTCTGTTTGGTAGGAAGAACAGTGGAAAATAATGATAGTCACGGATGAAACTAAAATCAAACTACAGGGCTCAGATACTATTCAGAATGTGTGACAAAGACGAAGTGAAAAATTCCTCCTGAATGCGTAGAGAGCAAACATTCTCAGAACCTGATTTTGCCATTTCTTACCATAGCATTGGTTTTCTTTGTTTTGTGAATTCTGAAGTTTATAAGAACATTATGAATTGACGATTGTTACCCACAATTGTTGATCACATCAATGGACCTGCTCAGAGCATTTTTCAAAGCGATTCATCACCATGCTATAAAGCTAAGACAGAAAGTATGATACAGTAAAAGGTATTAACTCATGAAAATTGATAAAACACTGTAGTGTATTACATCCATCATTCTTTTAATAATATAATTCCATTTCTAGGTTCAAAATTGGCTTCATAATAACTCGATTATGACACTGTGATGGCCAGGAAACAGTCCAGAACTGAACCCAATTTCAAATTTCTTGGATCAAATGGTCTATTGCACAAAGAAAAACAAGTTTCCAAGCTGAGCTTCAAGAAGAACTTTTCTATGTCTGGAATCATACAATATCTCCAGATTACATATAAAAAGTCTTATTTAGTGCTTCACGACTGCCCCGAATTTGTCATGCTGTTATCACGGCTATAGGTACTTGCTCAAAAAATAACCTACTAAATGATGTGTGTATGTTATTTTCTTCTTCTTTCATTAAAATATTATATTTAAAAAATGTTTATAACCAAATTAATAACATAAATTAAAATTAATATACAGTTTTCAAGTAAAGCATTGTTCGAAACATTTATTCATCTTTGAAGCAAAATAAAGAGGAATTCCAAAACAAAAATCAATGTGCAACAACTGTCTCGGAATCAAACTAATGCAAAACAGCAGAGGGGATAGCAAATCTTCTTGAAAAATTCTCCTGTTAATCTGAATACTTCTTGTTTCTACTGCTTCCTTTTGCTGTGTATTGCAGGTACTGGTGTTGCAAAATTCAATCTTAAAAATTCAAGTCTAGGATATACAAAATTCACTCGTACATTCGAAAAGCCTTTCTAATAGTCAATCAAAGCCATGCTCAAATTACATTTTCGTTTCCTTACATCATTAAGGATGACTTGGTAGCAAGATTTCCTTTCAGCCTTAGGAACCTTTACATCCTTTCTGTTCAACTGTCAATAGATGGTTCTTCTCTAGATGCTTGTACATTTTGTTAGCTATGGCTGCACTTATAACTTTGTACATAACTGGCGAACAAGCAATAGGTCTGCAGTTCTCCGCCAAAGAACTGTCTCCTGTTTTGGATAGCAGATACATGATGCACTGTGTGAGCCATTCTGGGAGTTCCTTTGGGTTTTCTAAAAATGTATAAACTGCCTTTGCTAGATGAGAATGTAATGCAATTCATTTCTTAATCCACTAATTCTGGATCTTATCAATCCTGGGGAAAATCCAGTTTCTCATGTTCTTAATTGCTTGAAAGAGGTCCTCTTCCTAGAATTCATGAACATGTTCAACTGTTTCCACAAGTTCATTGGCAGCATGAACTTCAGATTGGAGCTTGTAAGATCCATCTTTGTCGTAGGATCTGCTTTCTTCCCAGGTTCCTGTCCGAAACGATTCGTCATCTTTTGAAGGAAGGGCAGTACTGCCATTTGGGTTGTGACTCAGACCGATAGAATCTCTTTGTGCTTGATTTAAAGAGCAGATTCTGTATGCGGAAATCTACTCTACGTTTGTGACGTCTAAAACATTGAGCCCATGCTTGGATTTTCTCCTTTACCTTTAGCCTTGTTGTGTCATTTTGTATCAGTAATTTTTGTTCAACATGGTTCATTTTTCATTGAACTTTGGAGATGAGCGTCTGTTCAGAACATGCCTCGGCTAAGAGTGATGTTTCATGTTGAGTGTCAGCGATCCGTTTCATAATTATTTTTGTCCACCGCGGTACAGGAGCTGTTTACTCTGTCTGGCTGACAGCCATCGGTGCTCTTGGCTGGTCCCAAAATTATCTGAGATACTAGAGATTCAGTTGCCGACACAACGTGATTGTTTTCAGTAATGTCTAGATCTATACCCTGGGTTTGTACCACCTCATTTAAGACAGAATTTGCTGACTCTATCGCTCTCTTTGCTTTAGTATTTTCATTTATTCTCCTCAACAGTGTGTAAGATTTGAATGGAAGTAAACAAACTCGTTCAATCTCACACCGAAGGAGATTTCACATCATATCTATATCATGTGATTCATGACCAGATGAATTTTCAGCACTGACAGAAGTTTCATTGGGTAGAGATGAATTTTTAAAAGGTCCATCGTTTTCAGGAATATTAGATTGTTCTAAATATTCACCATGTGGATAGTTGAATCAAAGAACATACTCAGTATTTCCCTGAATCATGGCATGTTGATTGGCAGTGAATTTTTCACAGTTGAGTATGGATTGTATTTTCCTGGCAAGTTTCTTTGAATCTAGGGTAGGTCTCATATCTGGGATCCGCTCTCTCCATATCTTGTAATCATCTGTTTCTGACCCTCACTTTTTGCTTTTACAAAGTAAAAGCACCACATCTCCTCCTTCAATTCATTCTGGGTCCATCTTTGACAAGCTATTACAGGCTCTGGGTCCCTGGGACCAGCATCCTTGGGATGACCAAACATCAACAAACAACGTGACATTAGCTTGCTTCCTAAGTTGGTATGGGACATTGATGGAACAAGACAGGTAGCATTCATTACATTTCTTGTTCTATCCATTTTGCTCATTGATTTTAAGGGAAGTTTCGCAGGAAGCAAATTCAAGTTCACAGATCACACTTAACCCCCGGGTTATTTCCTATCATCCGTTACTGCGACTCACAGTGGCCTCGGGAATTCCCCCAACAGAGCCCCGCAAGGGTCCCTCCAATTGCAGTCAGCATTAGTAACTCTAAGGGATTTTCATGGAATGCTAAAGGCAGCCTCCTTCACTGGCTAATGCAAGGTTTAGAGCTTCACTCTATTCAGTGGCCTGGTGTGCCAACCCAATTTCTCTCCTGCATTGTCCATAGACTGATAACAGTCAAGTCCAAAGGTTAATGACCCTTCCCTCTCTACTTACTTGCCACTATGAATGCAGCTGCTCTCAACGTAGAGACAGACGCTGCAAACATTTGCAACTGCTCGCCTCGCATCAGACGCTGCCATTTGTGTTCAAGGTGCCTCATCTGTCATCATTATCAATCCTCTTCTTCTTCAAAGATGCCATTGAGGCTCTCATCTGACCCCCTCACCTTCAACCTATTCCATATGGGAGGCCCTACCAACAACTAGGCCACCGAACAACATAGCTTTCAAACTCATGGAGGTCCTCAAACATCACCAACTACAAGGTTGTGTACTTCCGAGGTGAAGTTGTTATTATTACTATTACTACTGTAACTGCCTATCCGATGTTTTTCACTGTGCATGAAAATTATATTATTTTAACTTAGGAAAACGCACAGCCCAAAAGTGCCATGAATTGTCCTGTTTGGACCCTGGGAAACTGTTTTATGGTTGGGGGAATGCGGGAGCTGCCGCCATCCCAGTAAACAAACGGTTGCGGCTGCCAAAGGGTGAGAAATTACGATATGTTTTAGCACCACTGGTTCACATATTGTCCTGATCACAGCTGCTGTGAAAAGAAATCAGGCACTGGTACAAAGAAGGTTATAATAATGTGAGCCCTTATAAAACAATTTTACAGACATGTACACGTGTACATTATTACATTCCATTTGATTGTTATATTTAGAGTATATATATTCCTCGCCACTCAACTCTTTAGAACGTCTCTGAGACTACTTTCCTGAATTCACAGTGTCTCAGAATTACATTACTACACACTGTATGTGACTTTTAATTTTGAATATAGGTTAACATGTAAAATTGAAATAGATGGGGAACAATTTAAATTAAATTAATTAAATAAATGTTCAAATTATAATATAAATTATGGGAATGCTTTGCACTTCATGTGCCCCCTTTTGGATATGTAGGCTTCCCTCAAAATTCAGGGGCCCACGAGGTGGCTGCACCCCACCCCTTTTCTTGAGGCCTTGTACATGTCAGTATTCTTATACTTTTTTTCCCCCTTATGTGTTTTAACTTCAATCCAATGTGCAATGCTTGGATTTGCTAGTGAATACTTTAACCTTGTACTGCTATTTATATGTGATCTGAGAAAAATTGCCCTGCCTTATTCAACTCATCATTTCTCAACCCATTGCAAATAAACATGAAGAATGTAAGTATTTAAAATGTTATGTACATACATCATTACTTTTCATCAGTAAAATGATTTTGAATGTAACTTTCATGCAGATGAACTTTTATGTTAAATAAGAAAGAAATTGTACAATATGTAACTCACGATGTATCTGAGCGAGTGCCAGAATCCCGCCTTGCCCGATGTTCCCTTAAACTTAGTGATGAAGGAGGATAAACACCACTGCAACTAGCTGTACTGCCAGTAAATTCTGGAGCAACAGCTACTTCATCTAAAGGTGACTCAGAACCAACTTCATCATCAGATGATTCTTCTACCACACAATGCTAAACAAAAAAACAGCAAAATTATGTTAAAGCATATATAAATTAAAATTAAATAGAAGTATGATAAGGTCTCATTTTATGGAAATTTGAATCTCACCCTCCTTTTACTCAGGACTGGTGTCTTTTCACTAAGACTTTCTTCCAGTTGCCGTAAACTTGATTCTCTCTCCGTTTCACCATCACTAAGAGGGCGTCTTCTTACACCCCAGTTGAAATTGTCAGTACTTTCCCCCTACACAAAGATATTAGTCTCATTGAGAATTGGAGTAAAAAAGGTGAGGCAAATGTGCTACTAATAACTTCCCTTACAAATCACTTACCAATCCTTACCAATCACTACAAGAATACGCCATGATAAAACATAAGAACTGACTACTTGATGATTTTGAGTGAATGAATGCAATGAAAATTGTGTTTAGCAGGTGATAATTTTGTTTTTTCACTGACTTCCTTTCTTTGGTGCAATGGCATTGACAATGTTTGAGCACTAAGCTGCTCAAACCCTATTTCATTTTCTGTTTATGGGATAGTATTCTGCATGTGAATGCCAAAATAAACCTAAAATCGTTTTATTTTGTACCAAACAAACAATTTATCTTTGTTCACTAGCAAAATGTCAAAAATCCATGAATATAATTTTACATATGTCATAATGATGTTCAAAACCCTTCAATCTCTAATATTGTTCATTCATTTTTTCTTACTGGAGATTAAGAAAATAAACTGTAGTGACAATTTAAATCAGAAGATGACTAAACCCCAGTCTCCCCTTCTTTGTTCATATAGAATAGACAATGACACCAGAAAGCTTTTTTTAAAATGTAAATCACATTCTCCCTAAAGTTAGTCCCCCTCTATTCATGCATGCAATGTCATATGATTATTTCACAACTTATTTTTTTAAATTTTACAGAAGTCAAACACTATTTATTTTGCATAAATGGCACAAGTCTATGGTTTCATTTAAAAGTCAAAAGTGTTGCCATCAATCACAGTTATTAACAATTTCAAATCCTGATATTTCAACAAGATTGTTTAATAAAACATGCTTTACAAGTGGAATAGTTTGATACAACAATGTTATGTAAGAAAGAAAAAGAATTGCAGTACCTCTACACTCTCACTTTCATACTCTAGAAAATCAAAATCTTTGAAGACTCCAAACTGCTCTGTTGCTCCATCATCTCGTCGAGATCCTCCAGAAAGATCATTATTGGCCCCGGATACTTCCTCAGTTGATGAGGCCATACTTGACTGTCTTTCCATAAGATCTGAGCTCTGACTGAAGATCACCTGATCAAAAAAAAGAGACAAAACAAGACATCTGTAAGTTAATGAAGCATAAACAAAATAAATACAGAAACTGATCAATACAATATTTCAAAATGTATGATCTCAATAATAGATTTTTATAATGGAAGATACTTTCAGTAATTGCACTAGTTGTTGAAGAAAAATCTAGGTACTTTACGTACATAAGGAGAAGATAAGTTAATATTTTAGTAACTGACATAAATGAAAAAGGATTAAGGAAAGATTACAAATACATTACAAATACCTGCAAAACAAATTTCATATCACGACAAAGAAATTAAATGATGTACTACATGTGTGCAATCCTGGTAAGATATAAATATGAAAATGGAATACTTACCTAGTTAGTCAGAAATGTACATACCTTATATTTTATAGTATCACTGATTGTGTGCACACTAGTAGTGAACAATAAACTATTATCTAATAAAGTTTCATGCAAAAGCAAAGAATGTAAAAAAAAATGCTAAAATGAGGTAAATGTGATTGATAGTAAAAACTCCAAAGGTCAGACAAATGGTTCACTTTTCTAACATACACATTTTACACCATAAATTCCCCTCATAAACTAGAATTATAAGCAGGTGCTTAGACAAGGAAATTGGATCAGCAACATTTTAACACAAACATTTTACTGATGCAAAACGTGAAGCAAGCATACATTCAACCAACTTTAGCAATGTAGGGAATACAGTACTTTCCACTCAGATTTTAATATATTATAATTTTCTTTTGGAGAAGTGTTTATCACACTTCTCCAGATTGAAGCTTACACTTATTGTAACAACAATATTCTTCTGACAACTGCTTTCCTAAGCCTCTGTGCAGTAAAATGAATAGGCATGATAAAGCAAGTTTATAGCAATGTATCCCCAGACTTTTCAAAAATGACATTAACAGCAGTACCCATTACATGTATGAAACATCTATCTTTTGTGAAAAGTACCAGTATGAATATATCAAATCTTGGCATTGCCTTAAAAAATATTTGAAATAAGTATTTGCCCGGCACTCTTTGCAAACAATTGTGAATATGATGAATACCGTGAAAATTAGATACAGGTATTTGGGGCAAGTATTGAAAGCCTTCTGTTCTCAAAACAACTCAACAGTTGTGTTCATTTTCTATATATTGAGTAAAAAATGCCACATTTTATGTAAAACACAAGGTTCTGGTATAGCAAGCATATTGAACTGCCATTTGAATATCTTCAGGAAAAGGCATCAAATTGACAAACACTCTGAAATATTTTATTCATAATTTGATTTTGAAGACAGCCTGCACAACATTACGAGTACGCAATTCCAATACATTTATGTCATTTGTAAACAGTGAGTGCACTGCAATTCTGACAACCAGCTGGTGAGGCCAGGCATGATACAGGCCTGTCATAATACACACTTCAATTCCATCAATTAACAAATTATCGATTTTCTTTGTTTGTATATGAAAAATGTATTTTTTCTTTGACAAGACTAAAAAATCTTGACTTGCTTTAAGTACAAATGTCTGGATATTATAGCAAAATGGTAATTGTGAAGAAACTGCTGTGCAATAACAAAGTGTTTTTTCAGCCACATGACAAAATAAATATTTATTATCTAACTAAGGAGAAGACTTTGGTGTGCTTTTTCCTTCTGAACTGATTTATATAACATGGGGATGCTCCTTCCCAAAGAGTACAAAGACAATATTGCTAATGGTTGTATTTAAACATCACCCAATGAGAGTATTACAATTACCCCCCAAAAATTTGTTCGAGACATCAACCATACAAATCTCACAATAAATAGCTTCTAAAAAGCTCCTCATCAATAGAAAAACGCTCATTAAAAGAATCACAGACTCAGATTCATAAGTCTAGAAAAAGTATAAGAGAGTTTGTAGTTGCAAATGAGATTTATCACCACAATTAAAAGTACCACCTAACATGACAAACTGAAACTTTGCTAGTCCTGTGCCATGACAATGTCAGGTCACAGGCAAAATGCACAGATTAAGTTAAATCCTCCTTCAACAACAAGCAAAAGGTTTAAGAAAGGCAACAACTCCAGGTATGAAATCTTGTCCACCTGTACATACAATAACAATTCACCAATTAATTTTCAATCTTATAAATCCTCATCCACCAGGAAGATGACAGAAAGAAAATAGAATGAACATCTATATAGTCATTCATCCAAAACTTATCTCACATGATACTTGATACCTACTTTAAACATTTTATTTTTGTTTTCTCTTTATTACATGAATGAATGTCTGAGCATTACTAAGCTTCTATGAGTAATTAGGAAATTTGAAACGAAGATTTGGCAATTTTTTTATACACCGTTGTAATTTTGATCTGTTAAAAGGCTATGAGAAAACAGTCTCATTTGGTTTGATTTAAACACTGGCAATTCAAGATCACGTATGGATACTTATCCAATAGAAAGCTTAATTGTTTGCTATTGGAGCTCCCGAATGGATGACAATGTCCCCTCTCCTTACAGCTCGTGACCCTGAAGAGCCACTACGTTTAAATCAGAGTATATATCAAAATTCAGTTTTTAAAAAACGGAAGTGTCCACATCCCATTGAAACCGTTGCTTTAAAGGATAATTTCATTAATCTATGTTACTTATTTTGTAGGTATTGCTTAAGTTGAAGGCTCCCGCTGCCAATCAAACCAATGTTGTCCGTAGTGCGGGTGAAGCCGCGTCGAAGGCTGCGATGCCGACGTTTCGACTATCATATTGCGGTGTCAAGAACATTCCAGCCTTATAGAACACCATGTCATGATGGTCGAAACATCGGCAATAGCTCTTGGCCAAGAGAGTTCTTTAACGTAGACATGTTGAGAAGTAATGCCTTCTAAAGTTTGTGTCACAGTGGATATCGTTCGAAGATAAGAGAGATACTACAGTCATTATATTCTGCTAATTTACGTTTCGTGTTTCATGGGTCAACATTTTGCACCTCTTCTACCAAAGAGATCCGAATTATTAACAAAACATGTCAGAGTGTAAAAACACTTTATCAGTGCACCTGAAACAGTGGACAGTGATATTTTAACGACAGAAAATATGCAGATAATAGACATTCATATGTGATTGAATGGTGTTTATGGCCATCTATATTACAGGACATACAGCTTCCATTCCAAAAATAAATGATCCATGGAATTCTACCAAAAAAGGAACATCTGGACCAAGCAGATGTCCGTGTCGTCAGTCGGCAAACGCACACCGGCAGTCATGTGCGATATTTACGTAGTGAAATAATTGGAATTCATGACTAAAGGCACTTCCATAAATACAATTCTGCAAGGCCATCTAGCGCAATGACAAATTTAGAATCTTGGTTTCACTGTTCTTGATCATCCTTCACACAGTCTCGAACTGGCGTCATTGGACCTTCATCTGTTCCCCAAATATAAAGAACACCTGGTAGAATATCACTAATTTGGAAGACCCAGTGCCGACAAAAGGGAGCCTATGATTTTATTCTCGAAGTCAAACATTCTACAATATCTACAATAACAGTAGTAAGCAACTGGCCATTCATTGCAAGAACTTTATTCATAATCAGGGCTATTGTGACAGGAAAATATGTAGGCAAGACCAATAAAGTTGTAAAAACTTAATCTTTTTTACTCAAATGTCTATACTCATTTTATTACAAAAATAGGAGCCATTACATTCCAACATGTCCTGAAACTTTTTCAGAAGAGAATTTTTCCAAGTTAACAGTTTATAAATATAGGGATCAATGTGAAACCTAAAAGTCAAGGACATTAACAATCTACTTACAGCACATGTTGGACACAATGGAAGGAATATTGAAATTTGAACTATTAATACCGGAAGAGCTATATGAGACATATGGCACAGAAGTACCAAGTTATACATCAAGTCTTGAGAGTTCCGAATGAGTCGAAGCTTCAGACGGCACGAATACGAGAAAAAGAATATCACGTATCTCAAGGACTTACAGACAAAGGGACGGACTGGATGGTAATTAAAGATTACACATGCAGTGACCAACACATCACATTCTGCCAGTGGAGAAGGGGGGCGATATGGCCAACAGAAAACCAAAATTCGGAATATGGACTGAAATGTCAAGAAGCTAGACCAGGCCAAACTGATAGAAAACTGCATCACGGAGCAGCAAGAATAGCTCACCACTCCACGATAACTGAGGGCCCGTTCGTGAAAGAAATGGTTGATCCGCACAATGCCTGCGACGCTTCAATGTCCCCCCAACTCGGAATGGCAGGTGTGCGACATACTTGTGGATCGAAGAGAGAGCGGAAATAGAAAGAAAATAAGGCTTCGACGGCGAATCCAAGGAGCGAGTCTGAGTCCTGAAGTCACACCGCTGTTCACCCAGCACACGGAGGCCAAGAAGATATTTTGAAGGGCGACAAGAGCAAACTTACGTCACGTCTCTTCAATGGCTATGTATGCACGCACACGGGAACATACAGACCATGCTTCAGAAGAAAGGGGCACTGAGAAGTTGCTAGCTCCTACATAAACTTGACAGAAGGGCTGTTGGTGGAGTCATTCCCATCCACCTTCGTGCACAGGAACGTATCCTTATTTACCCAAGACAACTGGGAAACCGACGAGCCCGTGGGGAAGCCAGAGGCCTCCCACTTGAACGTGGAAAAAGATGGACCGAAGAAGACAGCCAGACCAATGAGATGGCCCTTGGGATAGCACCTCGGGAGACGACCGCAAGTAGGCGATGTCTCCTTCTCAGGACACGGATTTCTCTACAAATATGTTATTGTTGATGAATGTTGAAAATGAATACAAACTGACTGCACAGAAATAACATCTATATAATATGAAAAGGAGAATATATTTCAATGTAACACAAGCTGTCATCAAAATATGATCTCGTCCATAGATATTGTGGCGTCTTTGCCGGGGCAATAAATCGCAGACGTGAACGGTTTGTAATTTATTGAGTATTTATTTGAAATATG